ATGTAATGAAATGCATTAACGTGCCTTTTATTGAAATGATAATAAGTGAAATCATATTACAAAAAAGAATTCCTAACATAATTATGAAAAAAATCTTAAAATGACAAGCAGCTTCCAATAGCCTTAACAACCTTTTCAAAATTATGCCCTTGTGTAACTAAACGAAAGATTTTTATTGACATCTTACCCCCATGATTCGTTGAAGCTCACTAAGCCTTTCTGGATCAAACTTTACACTTTATGTTTGAAAGCAGAGCATGTTTCAATAGAATGACTTACGTTTCCATTGTGATAATCACACGTTGTACTAACATCATACCATTTTGGATAGGGTGGCTTCAATGGTTCTAGAATAACTTGAGAAACCAAGTTATTTTTGACGAGTTTTGGGAATAACTCAGTGTAAGTCATAAGAATAGGGTCAATTTATGCTCTTTCTTGATTATCTCGAGATTTTTTTAAACTACTTGCTTGGTTGTTAAGCTTTGAAATTGATGTAGTGATATGGCTAAAATCATATGTAGATATTTGAAAGGTCGATTGGTAAGTTTGTGAGTAAGTTGGTTGTAGGTATGATTGATATGGGTAAGGTGAGATATTGTTCCTAGCAGGATAGAATAAGGGATAACCTTATGGTGGATAGGATTGATATCCCCTGAATTGTTTACTAAAGCTCACGGCTTGAGCTTCAATCTCTTTTTTCTTAGGTACTTTCTTTGTTTCCCCTCCTTTCAATTTACCATTTTTAATGACATTTTCAATAATTTCACCCGAAATTACCATATTGACGAAATTTTTTATAGTATTTTCTATCATTTTTTCATAATAGAAAATTTTTAAAGTACTGACGAACAACACCATAGTCTTTTTCTTAGTCAGAGAAGACTGCACTTGAAAAGCGATATCTCTTCATCTTTGGGCATACTCTTTAAATGATTCAGTCACTTTTTTTTTATATTTTGTAAAGAAAGGTAATCTAAGACCAAGTCTATAATATATCGATATTGATTAATAAAGGCATGGGCCATATCACTCCAAGAATGAATACAGATCCTGTCTAGTTGGATATACCATCTAGCAACAGAGTCTGTAAGGCTATCTTAAAATACATGCATCGATAGCTTCTCATTATTAGTATGGCAGTCATTTTTTGACAGTACATGGTAATATGAGTTTTCAAACACTTTGTATCATCATACTTATGGAACTCTGGCACTTTGAATTTTGAAAGAATTACCACATTTGAGACTAAACAAAGCCTAGCAACATCTACTGAACCATAAAAACCAATATCCTCTACGACTCGTAACCTTTCCTCTAACAAGTTCATCTTCTGTTCAGCTTTTGAGGTTTCTAAAGTCTCATTCTCCTTGGGCTTCAACTTTTTTTTTCTTCTAGATCATTCAAATTAGGGACTGATATTGGTTTTACTACCTTTTCAATAAAGGTAAAATTTACATAACTTTGATACTGCCTAAGATTTAAAATTGATGACATTTCAGGGTGTGTGTACCATACAGGATATGTAAACTGCTGTGGTGGTGAACTTTATGCGGGTTGGGCTTGATGTGGCCCAAAACTAGTAAGGTACAGTAGGTCATCCTCCTCTTGTGAGGGATGGTCTTATTGGCTGGTATTCTCCTTTACACTTTTTTCTTTATTTAACTCGTTCAAAGCCTTCAAAATCCTATTCAACTCTCTTTTTAGCTTTTTTTGAGCTTTCTCTATCCTTTCGAGACGATTAAAATTTTTTTATTCTATTTGTCTGACTCGAGTTCTTATATTACATTGGTGAGTGAGTTTGCTTGATAGAGCTATCCTTGAACCTTTAGCTATACTTTATGTATGATATGTTGATACATGAATGGGATATGGATCTTCATGGATGAAATGAGAATGATGCAAATGATAATGTTAAAATATGATCATGAAAATGATACATAGAATGAAATGATGCAGATGCACAATGTTACATATGATAATGAAAATGATGCACAAAGTTAGACAATCAAAATGGTTAGATAAACACAACTTGTTCCTTCTTATGTCTTAGTTTCAGGATATATCTATCATTGGGTAGGAATGGCTCTATCTTAGGGTTGGTCTCTTAAATATACATTATATGCTAGGTTAGGCGATTTTGACCACTAAAGGTTCTTAAATTATTCCTTACATCATCGTCCATCACAGACTAGTAAGGCAATCAAAACCTCACCCATCACAGATTACCAATGGAAAGGATTCAATTTGAGTGAGAGTATTTCGCTAGCCACTACGAAGGCATTAGAACCTCACGAAAGTATAGGTACTTTACTCCCTCATAGAGGGACGAAACTCGGGTATAGAGCTCATGTTATGCATATGCATATGAATGACATAATTTGCAACATAAATAAATAAAATGAATGGAAAAAAAAAAGAAAAAGAAAAAATCCTTACAAAGAATTCAAGTTTATTAGGCTTTTTTGGATAACACAAATTTATTTACTGGCTTGACTCTCGGTCGTCCCCAGTGGAGTCGCCAAATTGTCTAACGTCTAGATCCGAAGACTTATTGCTAGACATTGACTTAAGAAGTTGTCACAAATCTTTTTTATTTAGGTACAATTGGCCACCTCACCGAATTTGTCCCTTTTAAAAAGGATTTCTAAGTTCGACTTAGGTTTTTTTAAAAGGTAAATTCAATGTTTGCGAAACTAGAACTAAGTTCGAGAGTGCGGTTACGCGTGAGGAATGTTATAGCATCCCTACAATGCCCATCGAAAGATGCTACCAGCTTAATTATGTGTTATCTATTAGTTTTAAAAACTTTACCAAGTAATTAATTATTAAAAATTATTCTTAATTGACTCCAATACTTTTGGTAAAAAATTAAAAAAATTCCCTCACTTCAAGAGTATGCAAAGAAACTAATGTTTCTCTCATAGAGATTCCGTTGTCGGATTATTAAAAAAAAAATTTCAGGAAGGAAAATTAATGCTTCAAATTTTTCTTGAAATTTTTTTTCTTACTTTATTATTGTTATTATTTTTTTAAGGATTAATGACTTTATTCAACGAAAATTGATACTTTCAAATTTTTCTTAAAAATATATTTTTTTGAAAATTTTATTTTCAAGAAAAATTAATACTTTCAACTTTTCCTTAAAAATATTTTTTTTTGAAAATTTTATTTTCAAGAAAAATTGATATTTTCAACTTTCCTTAAAAACATTATTTTTTAAATTTGATTTTCAAGAAAAATTTATATTTTTAACTTTTTCTTAAAAATATTTTTTTAAAAATTTGATTTTCAAGAAAAATTGATACTTTCAACTTTTCCTTAAAAATATATTTTTTTTGAAATTTTATTTTTAAAAAATTATTGAAAAATGAAGAAAAATAGTTTCAATTTAATCAATAAATAAATAGACAAAAAATAATAATAACAATAAATATATAAATAAAATGAAAAAAAAAACTTAACGCGGCTCGGCTCAGCGGCTAAAACGGCTCGACTGGAGACATAGGAAGAGGCTGTAAAATGCCACTCGGGGTGCACGGCTCGGTTCGACTCAGCAATAGCGTCTAAGAAGTGGGTTGAAACACTGGTTAGCGCTCGCGTCGGGTCGTCCGAATGAAAATGCACGGATCCTGAGAAATCATTTAACTCTAAAATGACATCATTTCAGGGCCCTATAAAAGGCCAAATTCCTTTTTTTTTTGCTTCAGATCTCTCATTCCCCCTCTTTTTACCCTTTATTTTCTCTCATTCTCTCTTTAAACTTCAAAAACATCGGTTGAATTTCATCAGATTCTAAAAAATTTGATCAAAATCTAAGTTTTTCGTCAGAAGTTAACTAGAAAGTTTAATAGTTTTCTGAAAATCTTATGTCAAAAACTGGGTAACTGATCAAAAAATTCAACCGAAGCCAAAAAATTTAATCGAAATCTGAAATTTCTAAAAATTTCTTTTAAAAAAAAACCCAAAAATTCTAAAAAAATTTCTAAAAATATTGAAATTATCGTAGCCCTTATTAAACACTTTTCTCCACCTCTGCCTTCTATTTTCTCTCATTTTTCTTTTTATGTGTGTCCCCTTCTATGTTTTCTGTATGAGTATTTACAGCCTATGATCATAAAGGTTTTTGATAAATTCTAAGTCCATCACTAGACTTATCCCACAGAAACTATTAGGATTCTATCAACAGCAGAATTGTTATTCATTTTATTTTTTATTATTATTTTTTATTATCATCGTTATCACTTGAAAAACTTGAGAATAAATAAAATAAAATAATAAATAAATAAAACTTAAAAAGAAGAAAAATAAATAAATAAATAAGTAAATGAAAAATAAAAAATAAAAAATTACAAAATATACATGGGCTTAACCATTTGAACCTTTTTAAATCAGATTCAATAAATTTGAGCCCGAATCAATTAAGATGTTTACAATAATTTTTGCTAAGGGCTTTTAAAAGTTAATTTAACTCCTTATTTTGGGTCACAATATTAGTTTTTATTTGCCTTTTAAAAGATAAAAGAGAACCAAATTCAATTTTTGATCCTTTTGTATGATTTAGTGTATTAATTTAGAGTGTTGAAAAAAAAATCTTGGAAAACCAATAACAAATAATTTCTATAAAAATGTAAATAAAAATTAATATAAAAAATTAAATCTCAGTTGTCTATTATCTTGAACTACATAAATGAAACGAAATTCTCCTCGTTCCATCTCACATATGTCGCAAAAGTTAATGAATTTTTATTAAAAAATTTAGCTATAAATTTTATTATCTAAATTTGACTTAAATTCGAAATAATACAATTCAAAAATAATTTTAATCCAAAATCATTTGGAACCAAAATAAATAAATTAATAAATAAAAGGAAGCGTGAGATGGAGTTCATCGGGACCCCTGCCCGCAAGCAACGGCCCAGATTCTCTCTCTCTCCTCCTCCCATCTCCTTTATCTTCTCTTCCTTCTCCGCACGTCTTTCCTTCCACTTTCACTCTCTTTCTCTCACTTTCTTCTCTGAAAATCAGTAGATAGAAAAGCAAAAAAATCATCCATAAAAAACCCAATATATAACACGATGTTGCTGGGAAAACGCTCACGCCATCCGATCAAGAGGACGACAAGCATGACGGGGATCACCATCGATGTCTCCAACGTGGAGGATGTCCAAGAACCAATTGTATCCGATATTCCTCCCCCTCAAAACCACCCTTTGCATGAATTCCCAAACGGCAACTTTGGTAACGATCAACGTTTCTTGGCCATGGTCTCGCCAAGAAACCCAGTTGGTGGAAGATCAGGTTCTACTAACCATGTTCTCGACACTGCTCCTTTTTTGCGCTCTTGTTGCCTTTGTAAACGCCGCTTAGCTCCTGGTCGTGACATATATATGTATAGGTATTGCTTTCCCAGTCTCTCTTCTTTTAATTTTTTTTTCTTTCTTTCAAGAAATTCTTGTTTAAATCTAGTTTGAATCTTCTTTTCTTAAAAAAAAAAAAAAAACTACTTTTCAGTGAATTTCGTTGGGTTTTTTTTTTCTTTTAATTTTCCTGTAAGATTTTAAAAGACCCATATACATATAGTCTCATGCTTACTGAAGATCCAGAAATGATATAAAGCAAATTGTTTTAAGATAATCATGCCCCTTAGTATAGAATTTTTTTCCATAACTGTCACGATTGAATCTGAACTGAAACAAAGGATTTAATACTAACAACAACAACGTGCCATGAACTGCGGATGCTTCTCATAACTCAATCTTCTCATCTTGATTTTCATTTATCCTTTTTCTCCCTAAATTATTAATACTATATATATATATGTATATATATATATATACACACACACACAGAGACCCGCCCAGAATCTTAGAAGTTATAATTTAGCCAAAAAAAATGGAATCTATAACCAGAAGTAATAGAATTATTGATCATTAACAGAGGATGAAGTTAGTTGCATTATTTTAAAATATTATTGCAGGGGGGATACAGCGTTTTGTAGTCTAGAGTGCAGGGAACAGCAGATGAAGCAAGACGAAAGAAAAGAAAAATTGAACGTTGTAGCTTCAAAGAAAGAAGATCGCCATGCATCTTCAAGCAAGGCTTCAACTAAAACCGAGCCTGTGGCTGCTGCTTGAACCTTGAACTTGAACCTTGAAGTTGAGGAAGAAAAAATAGCTTATAAAGCCAAAAAAAAAAAAAAAGAGAGAGGCAAAATCCAAACCCACCCCAAATTAAAAAAATAGTGAAACTTGATTGTCTTTCGTCATGGATTAATCTCCTAGCCTCCAATATTGGAGCCCACTAATGTTTCACAGTATTATAAAAAGATGATGATGGTGATGAAAACAATATTATGAAGCTGCTGTAATATTGTGTAGAAAAAGAAGACAATTATATAGTGGGTGCAGTAATATAAGTTATGTGGATGCTGATGCAAATGGGCAAAGCTATGAGCTTGAGATCAGCATTTATGATTCCAGTTCCAATTTCAAGTTCTCTCTAACGTCTTCAAGCTTTTTCATTCTGGTTTTTTTTTTGTTTGCTTTTATATCTCGTTTTCTTTTTGCTATTAGTTCATTCCGATCATGACTGCTTCCCCTATATACTTAACCAATCAATTATTCTTAACAAATAAAAGTGAATCATCACTCCTAGAAATTTCATCATACATAACACAAAATTTTCAGAATAATTTGTATAAATACTTTAAAATAATATTTTTGTAGCGTAAGTAACGTTATGTTGTAACAGGTTAATACGAAGTTAATTACACATTGAATCAGGGTTTCAATCCATATGATTCACTTATTTTTTTTAAGAGATGATTTTTAGCAAAACATATATTCTATTCCTTGTGCTTACAAAATTTTCTTTTTCATTCTCTTTAACTTTAGCCTCTTATATATATATAAAAAAATCAATTACATGTTGCGGACATATATAAAATTGTTTAAATTTTTACAACATTACTGTTTGTAACAATTTACTAAACACTTTAGCAACAGAAACCTCATTATTTTTTGCAATAAAAAAAATACATAAAAATGATTGCATATACTTTTTGCAATAACACAATTACTTACACCATAACCTAAAATTTTCGCATTTATTGTACTTTACAATCCAATATCAAGTTAATTGAAGTTGAGACTAATGATGTTTAATTAAAATAAATTAGATTTGATAATTTATATATTTATATCATATTTATTTTTAATTAAATATATATAAAATATAAAATTATCGAATTCACACCTTAAATATAAATTTTTTTTTTTTTTAAACTTTTATATAATATTTATTAAAATTTTAAATTATATCATTTTTATATTATATCAATTTATCGGGTTAAAATTATCAGTCGAAAATACGTGGAGTTTAATTAGCTGAATTCTTGAATTACCATCATATTCTTTAGATACTAGCTAGTGCTAGCTAGCTACGTTGGCCGAGCATTTGTATAACCATTTTTTTTTATATTTATTATTTATATTGCGAAAACTATACATTGAATCTGCAGCGAGAAGTACATATCTGCCGCCTAAGAAAAAGGACAAAAATATAATTATAATAATTTGATTATTATATAATTACGAAAATAAGTGGTTGTTGCCCAATATGTGAACACAATGATGAACAAAGATATTGAAAAAGATATGTACTTCATCTAGAACTATATATCCACGTTTGTCCAAAAATAAATATATAAATATCCACTGTTTATGTATGATTATTTACTAATATTATGCAACAATGAGGAAAAGTAGGGTTAGAAGATAGTGAGAGCTAAAGGAATTAATGCTAAATATTAATTCCATATATATGCACATACCAACTCATTATTTTTTACATAATTATTCATGTAAAAACAAAAAAAAACAAAAGTTTTGGAAGGGGCAATTTACCTTAGTAATTAGGTCAGGTTCCTCTCATTTTTTTTAATCATAGAAAGTTTTAGATTTTTTTATTTTTAAATTATAATAAAAAATTATATAAAAATTAATCACTTATATGAATTTCACAAAATTTTTTTATAAATCACACATAATTTTGAATTATCATTAATTAATTATACGATAATAATTATAACAAATATATTTCCTTCTTTTTAAAATGTGATTGTGATGATTTGATTATTTATTTAAAACATAAATTTATACTCGCTCTATTCTCTGTTCCATTTAAATGAATAAAGTTGACTTTTTTGTTAGTATTTTCTATTTTTTATCTCTACTATTTTTATATTTTAATTAATTTAATTTTATGAAATATATATTTTAAAACTACTCATCCCAAGTTCTTATTAAAATTTTTTTTATCAATGATAAATATAAAAAAAATAAATCGAAGTTAAAAATTTTATCTTTTATGAATATAACCTAATTATTTTAATTTGAAAAAATTACAAGAAAAGAATTATTGATATATGCTGAAGATGTAAGTTATGACGAAGAGTAGGTGGTGAAATCATAGTTGTTAATTTTATTTTGGTATTAATTGTATCGATTGATATATTTTAATTATATTAAAATATAATACATTTAAAGATAATTTTTGTATTAAATTTGTTATCGGATAATATTGATTATTTTCGTTAGTTTTGATTTGTTTCGATAAATTTTAGTAGAATAACATTTTTCAGTCAATATGTAAATGTGAAATATATTTTATAAATTTTAATTTTTTTTGTTATTTAATTATTTTTAATATAATAAAAATAAAATTAATTGATAAAATAATCCTTAAAAGTTGAATCTTTTTATTTTTTATTTTAACTTTTTTTATACTTTATTTTTTAAAATCAAAGTTTATAAATTTATAATTTATTTTTTCAAATCAAAGTTTATAAGTATTTCAATTTTTTAAAGAAAACAATTATACCCTTTTTATAAAATTTAACAATCATAAAATTTTGATTAATTGTTTTCATCTTTTTGTTTTTATCTCAATATTTATATGAAAAAATACTTATTTAAATATCATATAATGAGATTAAGTATTTAAAAATATTATGAAAAATTTATGATATTATTTTTTATGTTTTTAAACTTATTTACTTGATTTGAATATATTGTATATTTATTTTATGACTTATTAATAATATTATAATATATAAATTCATGCATATTTATAGATATATTTATATTAAATTAAAAAATTTAAAATAATATATCAAAATAATTATACCGATATATATTATTTTTTAAAAAAATTAAATATTATCAGATATTAACAACTTCGAGATAGTAAGAACCTTTGGTGAAAGCGTTTGATTTCCGTTTACTTGTTTAGAATACTGCCAAATTGTTATGGGTTTTGCAGTGCCATTGGAGTTGGAACACTACGACAGAGACAAGGATTGACCAACTTAGCCCATGCTACTATATGTTATTTGTTTTTATTCAATTAATATTATATATTCTTTTTCTTTCGTCACTATGATAATATAAATTTAATATTAAAAAAATATAAATTTAATTATCAATTTTATTCGACCTAAAATTAAAATGATTTGAATACAAAATAAAATAAAAGAAAATAATAAAAATGAGAAAAATTTTAAAAAAATCAAAAACTTGAAACTGTAATATTTGATTTAATTCGAATCGATTTTTTTATTCGATTCGAATTAAATTTAAATATTAAATATATATATTAAGTTTAGATCACATTTTAAATTAAATGTGTAAAAAAATTAAATTATATATATTTTTATTTTTATATATATTTTAATTTTTTTATAAAATAAAAATAATAATTTTATATCAAATTATATTAAAATTTTATATTAAAATAATATATAAAAATAAAAAATTAAAAATTTAAAAGCTAATAAATCGAATTGAATCAAATAAATAAAATTTAATTTAATTTAATTCTAATCGTATAAAAATTTGATTTAAATTCAAATAAAATTTAAAAATTTTATAATATTATATAATATTTAAAATAAAATAAAATAAAATAAAGTTTAAATTATTATCATTTTTAAAAAATAATAAAATTGAAATGAAATGATGATAGAATTTCATGCTCATCATATGTCATTATCAAATGTTTTGAATAAATATTTTTAACGTTTGCTTTCTTGGAAAAGGCAAGAGCCGGGGACCGTCACCCGGGGACCTCTCATTTTTTTAATCATAGAAAGTTTTAGATTTTTTTATTTTTTAAATTATAATAAAAAATTATATAAAAATTAATCACTTATAAATATAAATTTCACAAAAAAATTTTATAAATCACACTTAATTTTGAATTATCATTAATTAATTATACTATAATAATTATAAAAAAATATTTCCTTCTTTTTAAAATGTGATTGTGCTGATTTGATTATTTATTTAAAACATAAATTTATACTCGCTCTATTCTCTGTTCCATTTAAATGAATAAAATTGACTTTTTTGTTAGTATTTTTTATTTTTTATATCTGCTATTTTTGTAATTTAATTAGTTTAATTTTATGAAATATATATTTTAAAACTACTCATTCCAAGTTCTTAATAAATTTTGTTTTTTTTTAATCAATGATAAATATATAAAAATAAATCGAAGTTAAAAATTTGATCTTTTACGAATATAACCTAATTATTATAATTTAAAAAAATTACAAGAAAAGAATTATTGGTATATGCTGAACATGTAAGCTATGAGGAAGAGTAGGTGCTGAAATTATAGTTGTTAATTTTATTTCAATATCGATTGTATCAATTGGTATATTTTAATTATATTAAAATATGATATATTTAAAAATAATTTTTTGTATCAAATTTATTATTGGATAATAGTGATTATTTTTTTTAGTTTCAACTTATTTTGATAAATTTTAATAAAAAAACATATTTCGGTTAGTTTGTAAATGTGAAATACATTTTGTAAATTTTAATTTATTTTTTGCTATTTAATTATTTTTAATCTAATAAAAATAAATTTAAATGATAAAATAACCTTTAAAAGTTGAGTTTTTTTTATTTTTTTTATTTTAACTTTTTTTATACATTATTTTTTCAAACCAAAGTTTATAAGTATTTCAAAATTTTTTAAGAAAATAATTATACTTTTTTTATAAAGTTTAATAATCATAAAACTTTGATTAATTTTTTTCTCTTTTTATTTTTATCTCAATATTTATATGAAAAAAATATTTATTTAAAATTATATGATAAGATTAAGTATTTAAAAATATTATGAAAATTTTATGATATTATTTCTTATGTTTTTAAATTTATTTATTTGATTTAAATATATTGTATATTTATTTTATGATTTATTAATAATATTATAATATATAAGTTCATGCATGTTTATAAATATATTTATATTAAATTAAAAAAAATTATAATAATATATCAAGACAATTGTACCGATATATATATATATATATTATATTTTTTAAAAAAATTAAATATTATCGGATACATATTAACAACATTGAGATAGTAAGAACCTTGGGCGAAAGTGTTTGATTTCCGTTTAGTTGTTT